GCAGGAGAATGGGTGCAAGTAAAGTACGGGTGCGACACGGGTGTGAGGACAATTGCAGTGGCCAGCACAGAACCATGATTTCAACCCAATAAAAACAAAATTTGGGTTGAAATGGAATGCAGAACTGAGACAAGGCCAAGATGACCTTCTTAAGTTGTGGAATTTATTAATGCTTTAAATAAGGGTTGTAACACAATACCAGCAGCTACCTACTCAAAATTATTAGACAGTCTTTCACGATGCAAATGTGGGCTAACACACTATTTCTTTCTTGAATTAAAGACATGTTTTGTTCCTAGCTACCCATGTTCCAAGACTTTTGTTTAAAAAGTGTAATCAAGGGTACCCATAATTTCATTCTCTGAAAGAGTATATTGCATTGTAGTCTTCATTTAACACCTCATTTAAACTTGAACTAAAAAACTGAATGAAGTGTTTCTTTGTACATCCAGCTGTATAAATGGGTAACATGTAAAATTGTAACCTATGTAAGTCACTCTGGATAGAGTGTCTGTTAAATGACATTAATGTAATGTAGTGTAATGGACATACGTAGCACACACCAAGCTGATGGTCCTTACAAGGCAGATCTGTGAAGTATTCCATATATCCCTGTCTTTTTCTGTTGCAGACCCACCATCAGTGCAGTTCAAGGCATGTCATGATGTTTGTTTCTTGGTGTGTGTGTTTTACCCAGGATGCCCTGTTAGGCCCTTTTAGGGGTCTTGTACAGGGTGTTTTCCACAGTCATCCCTCTGTTACAACCGACGCCCCCCACACCCCCAATGCCGACTGCGTGAGACTGTGAACACCCATCCCCTCTGGCTGAGTTCTTGACAGAGAAGCTGCCATGGCAACCAAAGCAGTGGACAGCCCAGAGTCCCTCATGTCTCTGTCTGCTGTCTACTGTCTGCGCAACTTGAGCCGGACCATGTGCTACCTTGGAGACAGGAACAAGCTCTGCCTGCACCCGGATGTATTCCTGCCCAGCGAGATCTGTGATAAGCTCATTAGCATGTATGTGTATCTATATATATATATATATATATATATATATATATATATATATATATATATATGTGTGTGTGTGTGTGTGTGTGTGGTGTGTGTGCGCGCACATCTGTGTGTGTATGTGCATCTGTGCGACAAGCTTGTGAGCATGTATGCATTTGTGTGTGTGTTTGGGAGGGGTGTGAGATTTGGTTATCGCTGTGTGTCAGTGAACACATACTCAACAAATTTGTGAGTTTTGTAGAAAAGCTCTGTACACAAGCAAAATTTGCTTTGGCACAGTTAGATTTTTTCCAAGTACTTTTTTTGGTTATAAGAAAACTATAGAGGCGACACCTTGACTGAAGCCAACAATCGCCACCTTCTTTATCTTATTTTCATAATGGGAATTGCGGTTTCTAAAGTGAATTCGAAGGATATCATGTTCTATGCAAACTGTCATTGCTTCATTGGTATCCATCAATAGTTATCGTGTTACTTCACATTCTAACTTCAGTATGTAAGAAATACTGTATTCATGATGGAGAACAGTGTTCTTACAGTGTAGCTGGCACAGTGCCCGACCTCCCTCCCGGCTGCTGATGATTTCACTGGAACTGCTGCTGCTGTAGGTCTATGGGGGGAAGTCCTGCTACTGACTGCCGCAGCAACAGTGATCAGTGACTTGTCAGCAGTTGCTAAAAGAATGGGGGGCTCGATCACCAAGGCACTGCTTCATCTATCTTGAACAACATAGTAATAGGTGAAAATTGGAAAAAGTTGTAGAGTTTGAACAGAGATCCCTTTTGTGAGTGACCTGCGGTATGGAGTAGAGTTGCTCAGGCAGTAGTGGCAGGCAGTGGCTGATGGCAGGGGGATCCGTGTCCCCATGTGTTTGGTGCTGCAGGTACATGGACCTGGTTCTCACGGACAACAACTTTGAGGCGCACGATGGCTTCTTCTCGCTGTTCTCGGACCCTCGCAGCACCAGGCTCACACGGGTGCAGCTCAGGGAGGATGTGGTGAGGGACAAGGACCTGGAGGCCATTGCCAAACAGGTGGGGACATGCCTGTACAACACCTGTCACCTGTGTGTAGCATTACTTTACTCTCCTGTATGCAGGGAAGCAGCATATTAGGTGACCATTGTACATCCCACCTCAGATCTCATGTGCTCCACTGGATGGGGGAGGCGGAACACACTTGAAGTCAATCATTTTTTGTTTTTCCCCTGTGCTGTCAGGGCCTGATCGAGCTCCACCTCACCTACTGCAACAGCCTGTCAGCCCGCAGTCTGAAGACGCTGGCCGGCCTCCGTCACACGCTGGTCTCACTCAGCCTCTTTGGCTGCAGCAACATCTTCTACAGACAGGGCGGCGCCCCGCTGGCGTCAGACGACGAAGATGGGGCCTCGCCCAGGCTGGAGACAGACTTTAGCTTCAAGGGCTTTGAGCGCTTGCGTATGCTGAACCTGGGGGGTCTGGCAGAGGAGGTGGATGTGGAGGCCCTCCTCAGGCCCCTGCGCTCCCTCACCTCCCTGGATCTCTCAGGCGTTCGCCTCCCTTCCCCTGCCTTCCTCACACAGTGGAGTGACCAGCTCACCTCCCTGGTGCTCTACAACATTGAACTGTCAGAGGAGCTCATCAACACCCTCACACAGATGGAGCAGCTACGGTGTGTGTGTATGGGTGTGTGTGTGTGTGTGTGTGTGTGTGTGTGTGTGTGTGTGTGTGTGTGAAAGAGAGAATGTCTTACAGTGTGGCTGTGAAGAAGCTGGCCAACACTTCTCACAAACAGAACAGACAAAGCAAATTGTTCAAAAAACAATAATTATAATGTTATATTAATATATTACTTAATAAACACCAAACGAAAAGATAATAGCCTTGGAAATAAGCACCAGAGCCGTAAGCTGCACTCAAATGTGTGCCCCCAGCAGCAGCCACACACACCTATATTTAGCGCACCTTTGATTAGGCAAGTGTGGCTCAGTAACCAATGACTGGCTGTACATGCACATCAGACAATTATAATGATTATAATGACAAACTGGGAATTAGCAATTAACAGGTATGCATGAAATTGATGAAATGTGATTGACTATTGATAGATTTGAATTGGATTGAAGAAAGGGCCTTTTAACATTAACATTTTAACAAATAGCATAAAACTAACAATTAGCAGCATTTAGTTTCTGGGGGACCAGATGAAGCCTTCACAGTGGTTGTGAGAGAGAGGGAGAATTGGTGTGAAAGATGGGTGTGTGTGTGTGTAATATATAAAACTATAAGCTGTTGAAGTGTCTCTGAGCAATGTGAATAAACTATGTAAATGAATGCCAATAATCTGATATAGTACAATGTTATGTTTTTATGGATGATCTCTGTCAGGCACCTGGACATCTCACGCCAGGGTCGGCGCAACTCCAAGTTCAAGCTAACCAGGAAAATCCTGACAACCATTGTGCGGAGCCTGGTCAACCTGGTCTCACTGGACATCTCTGGTCATGTCATGCTGGACAACTGCGCCGTCCAGAACTTTGAGGAGGCCCTAGGACGCCCGAGGTGAGCGGTTGAAAGTGCCTTTTCAATTTATATCAAGTTTCCTCCCTATCCAGACAGCGCACCTTATGATCTCTATGCTGTTTAAACTTCTGAAGGGAAGTGGAGCTCTCTTGTGGTTACTTTTTTCTAAGGTTGCCGTTATTCTTTATTTTCCCTCGTCTCTCTCCTTAAATCAGCTCCCTGCCTGTTACAGAAAATATATTCTCAGTAAGTTGCAATGGATAAGGGCTGCTTCTAAGCAAATATGCTGTAATATAATTTTCTTTTTTTCTAAACATTTTCTTGCAGCATTGAGCCCTGCAAGAGCAGCATATACCCTTTCCGGGAGCTGAAGAGGCCACTGCAGTTTCTGGGGCTCTATGACACAACGCTCTGTAACCTGACGCACATCCCAGCCTACAAGGTAAGGGGCGTGGCCAGGGAGGGAAGCCACAACCCTGGGTCCTGTGTTGAGCCAATGATATACGATCAAGTTTCAGGCACAGTCACATACTACCTCAGTGCATTTTGGGAAATGCATCGTTATAAAAATTGCAGCTAATTAACTAATTGAACCAGTTTAGTGAGGGGGTAAGCAGGAGGTTTTATTATTAGCTAATTTTCCCTCCCCTGCTTTCATCCAGGTAACAGGCTCAAAGAACGAAGACCAGATCTTAAACGCCATTGAGGCGTACACTGAGTTTCGTCCAGAGCTGGCACATCGAGCCATTAACCACCTGTTTGACATTGCCAGGATACAGCACTGCAGCCAGCAGCTTCGTGCCCTGCAGGTAGGAGAACTCGCTTGCAAAGAAAATACAAAAGGACAGTGGCGGAGTCTAACACACAGTGGGGGCAGGGTCTCGCTTGCCAGTCACTCACTGTGGGGGTGGGGTCTTACTTGTCCTTATGGTCTATGGCACTATGTTTCTGTGTGAAGACCATGTGATCACTGAATACTATGTCAAATCCTCCTTTGACTAATAAGAGAGATAAAAAAATATATGTCTAATTAATGGCTTAATAATATAGTTCTTAATTGCTGCTATAGCGTACAGTACAATCCCAGTTCTATACAGCAGTGAAGCTCCTCCCTCCAGCTGTAATAAATACTCCCTTTCTGCTATGAAACACAGACTGACTGATTCTCTGCCCTGCAGCTGGTGATCGCAGCCCTTAAGTGCCACAAGTACGATAAGAGCATCCAGGTGACGGGCAGCGCGGCACTGTTCTACCTGACCAACACGGAGTACCGCAGCGAGCAGAGCGTGCAGCTGCGCCGGCAGGTGATCCAGGTGGTGCTGAATGGCATGGAGCAGTACCAGGAGGTGACGGTGAGTCACGCCCCTGCGGGCTCTCTGCACGCCTGTCTCACCTCCCGCCTCTCTCTGAACACCTCTCTCTGTGGAGCTGAAGGGCACTTCTGGGACGGGCTCTTCACCCAAACGGTGAAACCCAGGGAAAGTCGCTATTGGTGGTACAGCGGCAAGCATAGCTGCCTTCTAAGCAGTTGACCCGGGTTTGATTCCCAGCCAACGCATGAGCTTTAAGCTTTTGATCAAGTGACTGGTGTATGGTAGCGTACTTGGCTTCCCTTGTCTAGTCAGTTTGCACAAGTTAACTTGGGATAGGGCTTGACTAGTGTTGCCATTTCCCTGTCACTCCATCATAGAGGAGCTGTGTATCATTCGGTGATTGCTTCAGCCTAACCCATGCATCACCCACTCCCACCCCACCCCACCCCCAGGTCCAGAGGAACTGCTGTCTCACGCTGTGTAACTTCAGCATTCCGGAGGAACTGGAGTTCCAGTATCACCGCGTCAACCAGCTCCTGCTGTGGATCCTGGAGCCGCTCAGGCAGGACGATTCGATCCAGCGCATTGCTGTGCACTTGTGTAACGCTCTGGTCTGCCAGGTGGACAACGATCACAAGGAGGCTGTGGGCAAGATGGGCTTTGTCAGGGTAAATGACCTCAGTTTAACTTCATTATTGACTACTACTGTAGTAAAGTCACTTCATCCTGAGTTTTGCTGTTCGCCTTTCTTCAGAAGTGATGTATGTATGTACTGTGTATATGCTGAATGAGCGTAATAATTTAAATCCATTCATTCACATGGCTTGAGTACTTATTGTTTTGATTATTTATTGTTTTGAATTCTTGATTTCCAATTCAGTAAAGCCAGAACTGTCACTCATTGTCTCACCCTCTCACCCTCTTGTTTGTAGACAATGTTGAACCTGATTCAGAAGAAGCTACATGACAAATTGGTGAGTCATTTTAATCTGCTCAATTTCTTGATGTGTTTTTTTCCCCACTGTAAGTGTGTGTGACTGAAGGCTACCAATCCTCAGTTTCATGCTTCCCTCCAAACCACCTCCCTCCTCACTCTCCTCAGCAGCACTGATCTCAAAGAGCAAACCCACCGCACAGGGTCACCAAAAGAGCCATCAAAACGGCTTTGTGAATAACATTCAGACATATATATAGCAGATGTGCTGTCCATGTAAGCATTGACTGTAGTCTGTTGCCTGTTAACCCCCTGTTACCCCCGCAGTGCGATCAGGTGATGGAGTTCTCCTGGAGTGCCCTATGGAACATCACGGATGAGACGCCAGACAACTGCCGTATGTTCCTCAACTGCAGTGGCATGAAGCTCTTCCTGGAGTGTCTGCAAGTGAGAAAGATCCCCCCCACTTCCTCCCGAACTGTCACACGTCTCCCACCTTCATAAGATGTAAAGAAAAATTCAGAACCCCCTCAGTGGGTTTGCCCCAATACCGTAAGATTCTAGATTCAATCCCATAGCCTCATGCCTCTCTCTATTGGCGCTACAAAGACTTTGGTTTTAATGACTTAAGTGATAAGATGTTAGTTCTTTCTGTGGGCATGGACCTCTATGTTAATGGGTAAGAAAACTAGAATTGCTACAGGAAGATTGCAGGTTCACATCCAAGAAGGGGCACTGCTTGTATTGTTGTGTAAAACCAAGCAGACCAAGTAACATACACTGGATTGCGTTTGTATATATCCACAAGTATAAACCGATAATATGCAAAATGCCAATGAATATGGTGATGCTAGAGGTAATGATGGAGAAGACAGTGATCCTTTCAGATGAGCAAACACTTTCCTGTAACAGCAAGTATGCTGAGGGCTATAGACCTCTTAATTCATAAGCTTATAAGTGTTTCAGAGATCATTGATCAGGTCATTATTCCACTACCTCCATCTGAAGCTCATAGACTCCCCTCTTCACACTCCTCCTCCTCCTCCACTCCAGGAGTTCCCCAACAAGCAGGAGCTCCACCGCAACATGCTGGGGCTTCTGGGTAATGTGGCAGAGGTGAAGGCGCTGAGGCCACAGCTGCTGACGCCACCGTTCATCACTGTGTTCAGGTGAGGGCATTGGATGAGCTGTCTGTCTGTCACACACAAGTGATTGTTGTAAAGAGAGATTGCCCAAGGGAATAATCCAGTAATTGGGAGAGACTGCAGAGTCATTATGTACATTGAAATCGCTGATTATTTCAGTGTTTTGGAGAAAAGTATATGAACCCCGTATTTACATCCTTTCCCTCTGTCTCCCCTCATTCCTCCTCCTTCATCCCTTTCTCTCTCCACTGTCTCCCTCTTTCTCTCTCTCATTCTCACACTTCCATCTCTCTCTCTGGTCTCTGTCTGTTCCTGCGCAGTGACCTGCTGGACAGCAAGGCGGACGGGATCGAGGTATCGTATAACGCCTGCGGGGTTCTGTCTCACATCATGTTTGACGGCCCAGAGGCCTGGGTCATAGAGGAGCCCAGAAGAGACGTCGTCATGGAGAGAATGTGGGAGGCCATCCGCAGCTGGGACGTCACCTCCCGCAGGAACATCAACTACAGGTGGTGATGTCACAGCCCAGCAGATGGCTGTTTAATGATGGGACATTGAAGCATTGAAGGTAGAAGCATGGGATGAAGAGATGGGGAGAGAGAAGGAGTAAAGGGACAGGAGGGAACAGAAGAACTGTACAGAGAGAGGGAGAGGGGGGATGAAATAACGTGGTCGTTTTTGATAATTGCTACAAAGATTCTGTGCGCCCCATCCGCATACAATATAAATTCACATACTACATAGATAAGCGAATCTGAGCAGCACCTGGACCACACTGATCCAACAAAAATCAGGAATGGCAGAATGTTTTAGAGTGTGAAAGGATATGAGAGAATGTGTTGGTGCATGCTTGAATGTTTCAGAATTATGGTTTAGAATGTGATGGAATGTTACAGAATTTTCTAGAATGTGACTTACTCACTCCCTTCATCTCCCCAGGTCCTTTGAGCCCATATTACGCTTACTGCCCCAGAGCATCGCCCCAGTCAGCCAGCACTGGGCCACCTGGGCCCTGTACAACCTGGTGTCTGTCTACTGTGAGTACCTCAAAATCTGTCCTGCCTCGCTCTCTGTCTGTTTCTCTCTCTCTTAATCACACTCTCTCTCTTGCTCTTTCAGCGGGGAAATACTGCCCCCTACTGATAAAAGAAGGAGGAATTGCCCTTCTTCAGCAGGTGCTGGATATGGACACGTCACATGAGGAGACCAAGGACATGGCAAGGTGCAAACCCCTTTGCTCAGCCTATTCTGATGTGACAGTGCAAATTTTGTCACATTTCATAATTAAACTGCACCCGTATGATTACAGTCTTGTGCAGAAGGACTAGGTTCCTGCTATGCAAGCACACATTGTTGTTCAACATAAAGGGCTTGAGGTCAAAGTTTGGGTTGCAGGTAGTTCTGTGATGAGGCTAGGGGAAGGGGTAGTGAAAGTGTCATCAAATAACAGCGTGTTCTATGTGAATGTCTGCCAAATCAATGAATAATAATTAATTACATGAACAAGAGTACTTTGTGGGGGTATTGAGTGGTGAGAGTCTACCTTAATAGACATATCTTAATGGGGAAAAAATCTATATAATTTTCAGCCTTATAGGTGTATTAAAGTGTATTGTTTGCATGATGGTTTGCAGCCTAGGAGTATAACTGTGAGGCCACAGTTTTTAGTGTGCTTTTTTCATTTTTCATGTTTGGCCAAAAGAACTACAGCAGTGCATGAATCTTTGAGATCACGGAGGACTAATGTTTTTGTAATCATTGGAAGGATCAGGTCAGGTAGCATATGGGGCATAATGGGTCAGCTCGCCGTAAAGATGTCGTACGTGATTTATTCCTCGCTGCAGGAAGGTAATGGAGCACTGTGGAAACTTCAGAGAGGACCCCATGGACGCCTCGAGGTAAAGAGGGATGAGGAAGAGGACAAACGCACCGGGGGAATGACAAAACTGACATGAAAGGACTGAGTGAAAGAAAACAAACACACCAAGATTGTTTTTATTTTCTTCTCACTCCAAGGTTTGTTGTGTGCATCGATTTACTGTAATGTTTCAGCAGAATAACCATTTTCTTCTCAGCCATCGCTTCTGGAAGGAACTTTTTTTGTGTGTGACACAGAGTGAAAGATGTGGTTGAAGGGTTAGGAAGTTTTTTTAGTATTTGACATGGCAGGCATTATTTGTACAAATGAAATGGGTGTGTTCTCCTTTTTGGTTTGTTTTTCTTTGTGTGTGTGTGTGTGTATATGTGTGTGTTTGTGTGTATGTGTGTGTGTCTGTACATATAAGAAACGCATGTGTGATGTTTGACACTTTGGTACTCAAAAAGAAAGATATAAAACATAAAAGTGTGCTTACTTGTGTTGGTGCACCTGAGAGGTTGGTCTTGGGTCTTGATGTAGGCATTAATGTGGGTGTGTAGTTTCTGTACCTCACATTTTGCTCCTCTTCCACTGTCTGCCCCTCAACTTCCTCTCTGGGGAAGTTCTGCCACGGAGACTGGACTCAAACCCTGGGTGCTGAGGCCCCAGAGCTGTGAACGATTGAAAAAGCACAGTTGACTTTGCTATTGCAGTCGCCCCCTTGTGGTGAGGTACACACCCCACACAGCTACAGTGAGGGTTGCAAGTCTTTCCTTGTTTGTGGTGAGAATTTTACCAGCACAAGGAAGACATAGATTTGTTTGCTGTTGGAGAGAATTGGAGCGAATGTTTCCATTTCTCTTTTGTCTGTACTTATGTTGATTTTTATGATATAATTATAAACACTCCTGTGGTTTCTTTCACAGTGTTCTAGATTTGTTTTTATTTCCATTGTCTTCTCAAAGAACATTGAGGTACAAAAGTGGAACATGCTGCTAACAGAATAAGACAGAACTTTTCCAGATTAACACTATGATGTCCTGAATTATCTCAGTTCTCTGATCGTCAGCCTTTCTTTTATGGTAATTGTTTCATTTTCTCTGTGGTGGTCGTGTTTTCACATCTTAAACACATCACAATGTGGGAACCCTGTTTCAGAGAGGCCCAGAACAGGGTTTGAAAATGTATGGAGTTATGCTATTATCATCGAGTGTTCTTTTTGATTTTAGCAAAGAAATCCCTTTGCCATCCTTAATATTTCAGAATGAAGTGCTGAGATTTGTTCCCTATCTTGCTGTTAGTGGAATG